ATAAAAAAAAGGTAAGGAAAAACAGGGATTTTAATTCAAAACCATTTTTTTGACGTAACTCAAAAAATAACAGTCAAAGATACTTTATATTTTTACCAATTTATTGTATATTTTATCATTCAATATTTTTAGTTTGTTTTCTACAAAATATCAATAAAATGTTATAAAATTATTTTTTATTTTAATCCTTTATAACTATAATATTAATAATGAAAACCCCATATAAATGATACACTTAAAAGAGTAAAATTATTTTTCATTGAATTTCGAAACAACTTCAAAATAATTAATAAATTAACACTATACTATTCAAATGTTGGCGTAGAACGCCGAAGAGAGTATCTGTACAATATATCGTTGGGCCAGTTGATTATACTTAGTCTGCTAAGCGAAGAAATTGCTCTAAATGATCATCAGAAAGTGTAGCTAGGTATTCAGCTTTTATAACTTTCATAAGGATATATATTATATATTTCACAGAATTAGGTTATTGAAATATGTGTATCTATTAAATGTATAATAATATACATTTTAACAATGGAGGATCGATTTTGGGACTGGCCCATTTTCCTCCGAAAATTAAATACCTCCACTGWTCATTTTCTCCTACTAAGATAGARTTCCATTTTTCTTCAATATTTTTTTGAACTAATATTATGTCAATTAACCTCCAAATYTTATAATATTTAGCCAGTATTTTAGCCAAACACCAGTATTATGTATGTATCGTATTATATATTATATAAGTGAGAGTATAACCGCAGTTGATAATATCGTAAYATCGTAACTTTTATTAATTCTAATTCTAATACATTGAATATTGATAMATATTTTATTTTGTTCATAATTTTTAATAATTCAAAGAAAATATTTATTTATTTTTGAAAATTACTTAAAAATATATTAGTTATTATCTTCTAATTTCTTAAACGATGGAAATTAACAGTAGAGGAAAATGTTATTATTGGAGGAAATTAAAACTCTTAAAACATCTTAGGGACGACTCATTGATCGCAATCCTGCACCATTTTGCTGCCTCTACAATGTTAAGTTCGTTATGATGGCATTATAAAGTATAAACTATAAACTATAGATTGTACCTATATATTTTATTTTATTTTAATTTCAATCCATAATAATATTATTTAAATTTAATAGGCAATGGCGGTAACCATGTCATGCTTTATAATGAACGAATCTCTTTAGATTATATTGTATTTTTTTTAGTTTTCTAAACCCGAACAAACAAGTGCAGCAGCTGTGGTCTGTTGTGATTAGTGTGTGTATAATATTATAATGTAAAAGGCGTATCACAGATAAAATTAAGTTTTACTTAATCTGTGGGCGTATCGTCAACCGTCAGAGTTTAAAATAATAAATTGATAAAAAAAAAAAAAACATCCGTACATTTTGTGTCAAAACAACATCTGTTTATACTCCACAATAATTAACAGTTATATAATGCCTATTTGTTTAACAATAAATAATACATTTTATCTTATATTTTGTTGTAGGACGAGGATGACTGTTCTATAATAATCATTAATCAGTGTTACTACACTATATTATTATAGTTACAGGCTATAACGCGGCATTGATGATATAGTAATAATACTATATAATAATATAATGTGCACATAATATATTAATATTATTATTGAAAGTACACATTCGTACGAAATGTGTTTCTTGTGATCATTATTCATTTCCCGTTATATAATAATGTTATTTTTTTATCATTACAAGATAAATAATAATAAGTAATCATTTATCAGTTATTATTACCTATTTAGGTATATATATTTTTTTCGCAGATTTTTTTTCATTCAATTTATCTATAATAATGCTTAATAAATATTACGATGTCCTAAACACTCCTAACCAACCATAAATCCAAGAAAATGTGTTTCAAATCTACCTATTTGTAATTTGTACCTACCATTCGTATACCTATTTAAAACGGGCATATCATATTATGAAAAATAAAAACCACACATTTATGGTGAATTCAGGGGTTAAAGTGGGGGGGGGACGCAGGAGGACTCAGTCCCCTTACCTCTGACGGCGGTTAAAAAGCGTCCCCTTTAACAAATTAGGATTTTATACATTAGACATTATACATGAAATTATATATGGAACGCTTAAAACTTTTTGGAAACATTAGTCCCCTCTGGAATTTTTTCCCACTTTAACCTCTGATGGTGATGGTCTGCTATTCAAAATCATTTATCGATAACTCTTCTCGAAAAATCTAAATTATACCTACGCGTCTGTTCAACACATAAGTAGGTACATATAAATTATAAGCGATACACAATTTATATACGTTATAATTATGTTTATGTATAGTGTTAGTGTATCTACATTTGTATATCTAATAAATATTATAAATAATAGCAAAAAGCCGGTGCCTGGCATATACGTGATTGAACGTATTATATGAGTGTAGTCGCGTGTGTAATATATAACGAACAGAGATAAATTCGTGTTCATCATTATTACATATAATAACTTTGACCTCTTACTTGAGTTCATCAAAACCTTGCTTATTAAAAAAAAAAAATAATAATAAAAGTTATAAGCAATACATAGCTTAAGCACTCTTAGTTTTTTTTCATTGCAATTTCGCCTATGGTTAGAAGAATGCTAGCATTCATTTTTTWAAACCGATTAGAATCGAGAACACGTTCGTGCTGTAGGTACRCACTATTTATGAACGCTACACTTGTTTAGAAAATAAAACCAAGGAACCTATAATTGCCAGGTTACCAGAAATCGTTGGACTTTGGATGTATTTTAATTTAAAATTAATATCTTTTAACCATATAGGACATAGGTAGTAGCTTCAGCGTAGGTAAATAAGTTATAAGAAATAACATTAGAAATAAATGTTAGAACCGCTTTATAAACAAAAACCTGGAAAACTATTTTTTTTGTTTTTGATCACACCTATAATACCTAACCTATATTTAAAATATTATTAGGCATTATTTTTTTTAATACGTAACATCATTTGTAGTTTATTAGTGCTCATAAGTCATAATATATTTATACATAGATTACCTAGGTACCTATATTTGCAGGTAYATATCATATTAATTTTTAAATAGATAATAATTTTAAACTTAAGTTAAATAATTATAATTTATTATATAATAATAAATAAGTTCTTTTTAAATAATATTATTACTTTAGAATGTTGATGATTTTTACATTAAAATTTAAATTCCTATACAATGCTAACCAATCTTCACATTTGTTCAATGCTTGAAATATGCTTAATTGATTCAAAACAATGAACATAAACATTTGATTTGTAGTTTTTTCATATTTTCGAATATTTGCATATTAAAAGTAGTATTTATTCATTAATCATTATATTATGTATTCTTTCTTAAATTTTAGATTTTAAAGTAAATTACAAAATTTTTAAAAATA